ATTTGAACTCAGGACTCCTGACTGTCAATGCCACCCACCCCACCTCAGGTGCAAATGGGCTACATGGAGCCCCTGCCTCTGGAACAGACAGTCTGAAGATGAGATTCCCCTTTGAAGAACCAGAATTCACAAACAGGTGTGTGAAAGGCCCCGAGGAGGTCCTATACACGCAAAGCAAAGCAGGAAGTAGGCAAAGTCAGCTCTGAGGAATTAAGAGTGCTGCCCAGAAGTGACACTAGAGCAGGAAAGACAGGCTCAAAGAGAGAGAAAGAAGAGGCTGGTACTGCTTGAAGGTTGCAGGGGAGTGAAAGATAGGGTCCCAGAGTCTCAGAGCTGGGCGCTCCCATATCTGGTCCTCAAAAAAAAAAAAAAAAAAAATAGCATTTTGAAATGAGACTAATCTAATCTGGAGAAATAAGACAGGCAGGGATAAAAACAGGAGTTAAGAATTTGGGGCTCCTCCGTGATCCCTTTGATGACAGACCTAAGGCCACCAGATCCAAGATAGGCCTCCAGCTCATCCATTGAGTCACACAGCTCAAGCTGATGTTGATAAGCAGAGCTTCGTAACAGCCCCACACGCAGAGACTAGAAACCTACAACCTGCCTCTCTGCCCTACTCCTCAACCCTCCCACTCCTCATTTTCAAACCAACCAGCCCTTTCCTCCAATCCCTGCTGAAGTCAACCTGATTCATGACAAAGTCTATTTCCTCTCCTATGAGGAGACACTGAACCCATTTCAAAGACTGAAAACGTAAGCAGAAGGTTCCAGTTCTCTGTGAAACCAACCACACACTGCACAGCCAGGCTCTGGCAGCTGATCCCGACATCCCAGGGGGCCCCTGAAGGAGGGCTGGACTAAGTGTATTCCATGGGCCGAGGACTCCGGCAGGCAGAACACTGCAAGCCGGGTGTGCAGAGGGCTGCCCCAGATGTGTGGGAAGGGCACGGCCACTCCAAAAGGCTATGAGAGCGGGCAGAAGAGTAGGTGGAATACCACCCCAAATGTTGAGATTCTAGGGGGAAAAGGGAACTGAAAGAGGTCACCAGGCCTGACCCTCCTGTCTGTGTCCTCTGCACCTTCTCAACTCTCTGGCGCCTCTGCCTACCGTCAGTGATGGAACCTCACTGCCTCCCCAGGGACCTCATCCCTGGTAGCTTCCCTGTGATCCCTGGTGCTATCTCTGCCTCAGGAGCCCACAGGGTAAGACCATGCCCTTTGCCCAGAAAGCCTACAGGGACTTGACAGCCAAGGCACTGACTGCGGAGGGCCGTTCCCCCAGCCCCAGGCCAGCTGTGATAACAGGATCCTGATCACCAAGATGGCTACAAAATCCTACAGCCTGCTCTGACTTCTCAGTCCTACACTCTGAGTCAGGGCTTGGTCAGTGTTCTGCTGGACCACAATCAGTATCTCCTCTGAGTTCGTTCGACCATTTGGCCTGGGTTCAAGTTCAGTCTCTAAGTGACTTGACCCCTCTGAGCCTCCATTTCCCCATCTGAAAATGGGGCAGAGGTGGGGTTCCAGTAACAGCAGCTACTTTACAGGGGTATTGTGCGATCTCAATGGGGCATCTGTAAGGAGCCTGGCACAAGGCACAGTAACAGGCATCGACTCAACGAGCTACTTACAACCCTCTGTCTTCTCTGCCTGCTACGGAATAAAATCCCAACTCCTGAGCAGGATACGGCGAGCGATCCATGACCTGATCTGATCTCCCCCTGCCCACTTCCCCACAGCCTGCATCCTCACAAACATTTCCTCCCCCAGGAAGCCCTGTCAAGTTAACAACCAGAGGAGCTTTTCCCCTCCACAAAGCCCATCTATCGCTGATCACATCCTGCCTCTTCACCTCACTTGCTCCTTCCCCGATTCAGATCAGCAGCCTCTCCAGTGAGAATTCAGCAGCACCTCACCCCAATCCTGTTCCCCAGCACCCTTGTCCACAGACATTTTCCATACATATTTAACAAATTACTCTAGCGTTCCATTTCCACTAAAGAATGTCCAAGTCCTCCAAACAGCCTGGATATTTCAAGCCAGCAGAAAACCAAATTCCAAGCCAGCAGAAGCCAGCTCAGTCTTTAGGGACTTACAGGCCTGACTGTGGTCCCAGAATATGGAAGATGGGTCAGACAGGTCCAAAGCACAGGGTAGAGAGCACACTTGGCTGGAAAGGCTAGAGCCTATTTTCGAGTTCCTCGGATGTAGAATTTCTCAGCTGCCCCCAAGGGCAATCCCCAGATTATGATTTCATACTCCTGACCACATCCTAAATTTGGGATTGCAGAACAGCTCCTTGCGCTTCCCTGTTTGACGATAGTCTCACTGTCCATCTTTTCTTGCTTGCTGGCTCCCGGCCCCTGACCTGTTGATTCGCCAAGGGCTTCCTCTCCAGTTGCGATCACCAAGATAAGGTACCATTCTCCTCTCCACTCAAACACCTATTTATCTGAGTCCCCTCAAATTTCAGGGGATTTCCATTCTTGTTCCTGCAAGTTGACAATAAGCCTTCAGCCCAGGTGATCTCCCTCTTCCCAGAGCTCAGGAAATGCCTATTAGGAGCAGTTAGGAGAGTAAGGTGTAAACCTGCCTCTCCTAAGAACTTTCATTACCTGTGCCCACTCCATTAAGATGCTTTCTAGTAACTAAAAACTTGGTTTCTACTTTTAAAGAAATGACTCAGGCCCCCAACCAGAGCCTGACCAGCAGTCACCAGGTGGTATCCCCACCAAAAGTCCTGGGTGTTAAAGCCAGCGGGACCCTGGGCAACCCCATACGTTATTCCTGGGGTCTTCACTGAGAGGGCACACTGTGCCCCAAGCACAAGACCACAAGAACATGCATTTGCCACTAGGATTCCACAACCCTGCACTGCCTCAAAGCCCATCCCACATGACCGCCAGGCCCTTTGGGGCTGGGACACCTATCGCAGCCTGTCAGATTAGCAGTGAGGACCCTGCAGATGAACCACACTGGAGGCCACCTAGGATACCTGTCTCTTGGCCTTAGGTCTCCATGGCCCCAAGGGCTCCACCTGGAGGCCCTACCTCTGCCCCATGCTGATCTGAAAGTGACCTGGTCTGAAAGGACATGAAAGACTGAAGTCCCCTGGGTGCTGGGGAGAGGCCTGCTGACAAAGCCACCAGCTGCCCCCAGCCAGAGCCAGGGAGAAGGGCTCCTCCCTGTACACCAGCACCGGGAAAGTGTTCCTGCCATGGACTCAGCCAACAAGACTAGAACCATCACAGCACTCCAGGCCCAGGCTCCCACTGACTTTCCCACCTCTCCAGTTGCCCACAGTAAAAAGAGGCCAGGCCCAACCTCACTCACCCTCCACCAGTACCAAGCAGGAGGAACATCACAGGGGGTAAGGGTCATGGGGACTGAGGGCAGGTATCTCATCCTTCCACCTGAAAATGAAACCGTGAGCTCAGCCAGCAGCAAGACCATACAGAGTCCTACAACTGAGTCTCAGGTGGGGGGAGGGGAGTCATACGGATCTCTACCACTTCCTACCTGTGCCCCTTACCATGCTGTGCCTCGGTTTCCCTCCTACAATGTGGTTACAACTGTAACATGGAAGAATTAAATGAGATAATAAGTGTAACAATCACCGCAGTGCCTGACTCACAGTAAACATGCAATAAATACTTGTTGAATATAAACATGCCACCGTTTCCTGAAGTACAACTGTTCCCCTTCCCTCCTTTTACTGGCAGATAGTATAATTTCCCCCATTTCACAGATGAGGAAAAGAACCAGCCCCAGGGCACACTGCTAGGAAATGACAGATAACGCGGGTCAGAGTAAACCTCATACCAGGAGTAACCGTGCCCCGACCACTGAGATTGCTGGAAAGGGTGGAGGATGGAGGGGGACAGCACTGGGGAGTGATGGGGTGGGGCTCTCTCTCCCCTGGGCTTGGCCTGGCTTCTGGCAGACTTGGCTGCTCCCATCTGGGAAAAAGCCAGGAGGCCAATCCCCAGATTCCTGATCGGTCCCACAGCCCGACGTTCTGGGGCGCCCCCTCTTCCCGCCGTCCCGGAGTATTAAAGCAGCTTTCAAAGCAGTGGCTCGTGGCCCCGGAGAGCCACGGGGGAGACGCGGAGTTAGAGACCAGGCCGCTGGCAGCCGGTGGAAAACCGGTCGAGTGGCCTGACCCTTCGCGAAGCGGGGAGCCGGCCTCTAACCCGGC